CGGTTGAACATTCATTTGGGGCATGAGTAAGAAGTCGGAGGCGGCACGCAAGTCCATTCCGGGGGTTCCTCGGAAACCTCTACTTCCTCTTGATTGCTTTTCTGAAATTGGTTCCCATATTTCTGAGGGCCCTGGGACCATGGGCCCCGTGACCCGTTTTTTGATTGGGGTACCTTGGGTTCTTCAATAGGGGCAGAAGCCTCCCTTTTACATCCCGGACTGACCTGCATTCGCTAGCCCTATGATAACCTTTACCACAACGATGGCAAAGCTTCGATTCTCTTGTTCTTTCAGGGGCTTGACAATCTTTCTTAAGGTGCCCCATTCTCCCACAATTAAAACAAGCTTTTCGACTAGATAAATCTCTACGCCTGTGCGTTTGTAAAATGGCGGCAGCTAGTCCTGCATTGGTTAGGGGTCCCCCAGCTCCCTGCACACTCTGAGCCAATCTTGTAAACCTTTGCTTTTGCGAGGGGCGATAGCCGCTCGACATTCCTGGGTTGCTTGTTCATAGACAAGTTGCTCAATCAGGGGCATAGCTTGTTCTGAATCACCAAAGATGCGACTGGCGGCCTCTGTCATTCTGGCCACAAAGTCTGAAAATGGCTCTTGGGGTCCTTGGACAATCTTTGTAAGGTGTCCACTGGACTCTCCCCTTTTTGTGAGGGCCTTCCATGCTTTAATAGCGGCGGCCGACACCTGACCATAGACACCCCAGATGTAGTTGGTTTGATTAAGGGCATGTTGACCCTGACCTGTCAGCATTTCAAATGTCCACTGCCTCTGATTCTCATCTTCAGCCGTGGCATTAACTCTAGCTTGTGCCTGGGCTGCATCATACCAGAGAGCCTTCCATTCCATGTATTGTCCCATGTTGGGAAGCACTGCTTTCACTGTCGTCTGCCAGTCAGTGGGAGTCATGGCAAAATTAGCAAGCCTTTCCACCTGTAATGTGGTAAAGTTAGCATTGACCCCATAATTACGAACGGATTCGGCCAATTCTTTGATTTGATTGTAATCTACAGGGGTATGTACTCTTCCGCCTTCCGCATTCTCGAATACTGGAAAAGCTACTTGTATTTTTCTCCGTTCCTCTAAAGGTAAAAAGGAGTCAGTACCAGTATTCAGCCGAAGCTCATACTGCGGAGGCGCTGAGGGGCGTGAGCCCGCCGGATTTATAGGCGGTGGCCTCACATTCATTTTTGTTTTCAGTGGCCGGTGTCTATCAGGGTGATATCTTTCTTCCTCATACCGTGCCACCTCCTCCTCTAGACCACCTTCTTCGCTAGAATACAGAGTGTCAGAATCAGAATTATCTAGCTCCAAGGCTTCTAGCTCTACTGTAGGGTATAGACTAGATTCTGGCTTTTTCTTTTCTTAGATTTGTTAGGGGGTGAATGATCACTCCCTTCTTTCTCTCCCCCTTTCTTAACTTCTTGGGGAGGGCCTTTTTTCTTAGACATGTCTTTCCTTTTGCGAGCTCCCATTCTCTCACTCCGTTCAGTTTCTGACATGCTATCCTGAACTTCCTCTAAGGTTCCCTGACTTTCTATTATAGCAGGGTGACAGGCCTCATCCTCCAAGCAGTTTTTAACTAGCTTCCAAATGGCTTTGGTACCTAAGTGGAGATCTCCTTCTGCATGCTTCCTGTCTAGTTCTTTACCTAGCTTGTTCCATGAGGCCACAGTGAGGGACCCGGAACAAGCATACCATGGTGCCACTCTATCTACCTCCTTCACAAAATTTTGAAGTGTTCGTGGTGCAATTTTAAGATCTCTTTGTTTTAGCACAGTCTGTAGGGCAGTAACCACTGACTGTGACAACCCCATCGCGCTAGCGGCTTATCTAAAAAACGGCGCTCAACTCCGTTACCAGACTGACAGCACCAGACTGACAGCACCAGACTGACAGCACCAGACTGACAGCACCGTTCTGTCAGCACCAGACTGACAGCACCGTTCTGTCAGCACCAGCCACGATGAAGGAGAAGGACAAACAGGACTAGCACCAAAGCCTCCACTGACCCGTCCCACGGTGATGACAAACTAAGGCCAAAGTCGAGAAAGGGGGTATTCAGGATAAAGCATACCTCTCTGAACTTACGTCCCTGCAGTTCTGAATCCGCCCCATCTTCCGAGGGGTCTCCCGCGGCGCCGGCGATGTTGAAGAGTTCCCGGGTTTTGGCACCAGATGTCCCGCGCTACCGTCTCGCCAGCAAGAACGACGCAGAACACTCGGATCCTTCTGCAGTAAAGCTTTAATGCATCTTGAGAGATAGATGATCAGCTTCTTAGAGGGAGACCCCAAGCTAAGAAACCCAGCCCCTTATATAAGCCTAGGAGCTCCGAGTGAGACGTGTAGAGCCGGGATTGGTGGTTTGCACATCACCCCAGATGACGCCACGGGAGAGGCACAGCTTAAACGGTTAACTCCAACTGACAGCAGATGTCAGCGCCATCTTCTAACGGTTAACTCCAACTGACAGCAGATGTCAGCGCCATCTTCTAACGGCAATAGCGATAGCGAGGGCGGCTCCTCACACATCACCATTGTTATGCATCCAGGATTGAGCTGTGGAACATTAAAGGCCCCTCCACACCCTTGTCCCACTTACCTTAGTTAGTCCATATATAATGTGCTGAACAAGCAGGGCTGGGGATGACCTCACTAAGAGGTCATAGTTTGTAAGATAGTGGAAGGGCAAGAGGCACCTTCGGGAGCATACATGATTATCGTTGGGGCTACCGAGTTACTTTGGCTGTGATAGGAGTTTGGACATGAACTTAATGAAGCCTCCATACCAGAACATGCAGATCCAGCCTGAGGCAATGACTAGGATAGGAGAGTGGTGGCTGCTTGGGTTATGATGACACACCATGCCACAGTATTGTTCTTCCATTATGATTCCCATTCCTGGCCTCCCTACAGCCACAGAGCATGTTCCTCCACACTAACCAACAAATGTCTAGCTGAGGCAGACATGACAAACCAGAGAAAACTGTCTCGTGTGTTCACACTGAACAATTTGGAAAAATGACACTTTTTATAAAGGATATGCTGGGAATATATTATAGCCATATCTATCCTTGCTAGCAAGCCTTTCTCAGCCTTTCTCTTTTCTTCACTCTGAGCCCTCCATTCTACCTAAGCCATCTTGAAATATAGACTGAGCTCTGTTGGAGAAAAACAGCAAGTCATTCCCATGATTCAACTTACAGTCTATTTTATCTTTGTGGAGGGTGTTCTGATGGCTTCTTAATATCAGCCACCACATGGAGCCTTGCAGAGTTCTGAATATGGCTTTCAGTGCACAGGCTTCATTCAGTAACCAATCAGCAACCCAGGATCTTACCTTTGGTACCCTCATCTCACTAGTCCAGCATCACTGACAGTTCCTGTTGCTCTACATGCAGCTTTCCCAGTGTTCTGTCCAAGGCACAGTTCATGATTCATCCAAAGCTCTCTGTGCTGGTCCAAGAGCACTGGCTGCTTCTGTGGACTGGTTCTATACAAACCTCTCACTAGAGTTCTGAATCAGTACCCTCAACCATTCAAACATTTTCTTGGGTGTCTTGACATCTTCAAAAACAATTCCCTTATATCCAAATACAACTGTCCTGTTATCATTTTCCATACTCATCTGTCCTACTGGGTATCTGTTTCCAAGAAAAATGTAATGAATGTTTCCTTGCATGAGCTTAACTTTTGCGTTGGAACTTGCTGGCTCATTTTGCCTAGGCTGTTCCCATCTTCTGACTATTCATAATGCACCATCTCCTTACCTTTCTAATTTTGTCTTTATTCTAGTCACATCAGAGTGTGTTCCACAGTTAAGTACACATCATTGTCTCCTCACCAATACCTTCAAAACCCTAATTTGAAGATCATTTCAAACAATATCAGACATTTGTACAAAAATAAAACAGAAAAAATGACTACAGCATCATCTACAATCCAATTATGCAGTCACCATAGAACCAAAAGTTGTATGACCTCACCAAGTCAGTGGAATGCACATTGAGTGAACTCATTCTCAGACTGTTTAAATTAGTAGGAAATGGAGTCCACCAACTTGATTATATTCTAGAGTCACCTGGATTTTTTCCTGACCTCAACCATGAGGAAAAACAGAACCCTCCCCACACAGATGGAAGCATTGTTATATGTCAGAGATTCAACACTTCTGACTCTACCCAGTAAGTTCTCCGTAGGTCAATAACCAAGAAGGCTAGATTCCAGATAGGTGACTACCTGTCACTCTACCCATTTGTGCAACTATGGAATCCCATTCCCCATTGAAGGCTTCCTAATGCAACAACCAATCAAAGGAAATCTAAGCTGTCCTGTGTCCTCTGTTGCATTACTGGGTAAGCTCTCCTATGAACAAAGAGCACCTTGGAATATAGGGAGATTCCTTTGTAGATTTTTACCAGAAAAGACATGGTGAGACTTTCCACAGGGACCAAGTCTGGCACCTGAGCCAGTTTCCTCAGTGGGGAGTCTCGGCATAAATATGTCCCTGACAGCCACAGACAAGCATTGATCCTCCAAGACTCAGGTGAGAGATAGCTCCACGAAATGACCTGCACAAACACTTCTGCTCTTTCTTCTGTCCCCAAGTGGGATTTCCTTGTAAACTAACATTTGCGTCCTAAATTTATATGGTATGAAGTTTGTGCTGTGCTGAAGGGACATGTGGGAAATGCCTCTTAGTGAACTGTAGGCTACTGTGTGAGAAGACAATCTGCTCTCAGCATTTCTTACTCCATCAGTATTGTCTTGCTGTCCTCCCAGAGAGACCTGGTTCAGGGATGACAAGATCAGAGCTCAAGCCTTGTCATTTTCAAGAAGGTCCTGATGCAAGGCCACCTAGGTGTCCCACTTGGATTCTAGTGAGCAGCAGTGAGATGGAATACTAGCCTCTCCCTAGTTTATAGACACATAAAGGAGGGCACACGTCTGGATATGTCTCCATGAGCCTCTCTATTCATTTCAGCAGGATGAAGTTTCTCACTGGCCTCATTTTCTGCTCCCTGATCCTGGAGGTCATCAGCTGGTTTTCATTTATTCATGAGGCTTATCAAGGTAAGGCTGATGTGTGAACAGTGGCTTGTGGAGTTCAGCCAACCATTTTGAAGGTTTTGTCCACTTCCTTTGGATACAATTTCCTGGGATTTTTTCGGGGGGACATGCAATACAAATACAAATCTCAGAGTGGTGACTGAGTAGAGCAGGTGGCATAACAGTAGCTTGAGCCTTGCTATGTCTGAGACCAGTGCTGCCTGCTTGATGTGTTTGCTCACTGTCAAATTCTTCATTCTCCCTCCCTAAGGCGTTGACATAGTCTTTAGGCTCATGTTCCTGCTGTCTTTTTCATCAGGGGCTGAGGACATGTGGCAAGTCAACTCTGATGCGAAGAAGGCCAACTGGAGAGACTCAGACAAATACTTCCATGTTAGAGGCAAGTATGATGCTGCCAAAAAGGGTCCTGGAGTCATGTGGGCTGCTGAGGTCATCAGGTAAACACAGACAGTTGGGACACTGGGCCTGAGTAGCATGGATTTGATGCAGAAGTCCTGTATATATGTCAATAAAGCACTGTTGGCCAATAGGGAAGCAAGATAGGTGGGACTAGGAGCTGAGGAATACTCTGGGAAGGAGAAACACAGGGAGTCAAGATGTAACCGCCATAGGGATAAGAAGCTGGTAAGAGAAATACTTAGATTAACAATTATGGGATAAATATTTAAGTCAGAGCTAGCCAGTAAGAAACAAGCAAGGCCAACAGCTTCATAATTAATATAGCTTCCTGTGTGTTTATTTGGGCCTGATACGGCTCTGGAACCAGGCTGGCGGTAAGGCTTCTTTCTACAGGGATTGACTGTGCTAGGAGACTAGGGTCAGATGAGCCCAATAGAAGGTCATACCAATCTGTGGCCCTCCCCCTCTTTCTCTGACAGTCACTTCCTCCATTCATGCTCAGTGTAGATCCTGGGCTGTGGGCAGATCCGTGTAAGTATGCTTACAAATGCAGACTTTGTGTGATTCCAGCACTGCCTATCTTGTGATGGTTGTTCAAAACAGGATCGCTCACCTGGTCTAAGCTGTGCTGGGTCTGGTAGGGTCACTCTTTCAGGTTCTCCTTCCTGGTCCTTCCTGATTTTCTCCTAAAACCATCTCTGGCAAAGTAGTGAACCTGGATGGTGGACTGTAGCCATGCGGCTTGGTGATGGATCTCCTCCATGTGCTTCTCCTAGTGATGCAAGAGAGAGTTTTCAGAGTCTCATAGGTCTTGGACACGAGGATTTCATGGCAGAACAGGAAGCCAACAGATGGGGATGCAGGGGCAAAGACCCCAATCATTGAGTGGCAGGTCTGACACGTACTGAGCATCCTTGTTTCAACATGTTGATCTCACTGTCTGTGGTACTGGTGTTATGTTCAGGAAGCTGTCTCCTATACCAATTTGTTGAAGAGTACCACACACTTTCTTTTCTAAGAGGTTCAGTGTGTCTGGACTTATGTTGATGTCTTTGATCCATTTGGACTTAAGTTTTGTGCATGGCGATATACATGGATCTATCCACATTCTTCTACATGTCAGCATCCAGTTACTCAAGCACCATTTGTTGAAGAATCTTTCTGTTTCCATTGTGTATTTTTAGCTTCTTTGTCGAAGATCAGATGTTCATACATGTATTGGTTAATATCAGGGACTTCAATTCTACTCCATTTTCTATCTGTCTATTTTTGTGCCAATATGAAGATGTTTTCAGAACTATCACTCTATAATAGAGCTTTGAAGTCATGGATGGTGATGTCTCCAGATATTTCTTTGTTGAAAAAGGTAATTTTGACTATCCTGGATATTTTGGTTTTGTATACAAAGTTGACTATTGTTCTTCCAAGGTCTGTGAAGAATTGTGCTGGTATTTTAATGGGGATTGCATTGAATCTGTAGATTGATTTGGAGGATGTCCATTTTTACTACATTGATCCTACCTATCCAAAAGCATGGGAGATCTTTCCATTTTCTGATGTCTTCTTTAATTTCCTTCTTTAAAGAATCTAAGTTCTTGCAATACAGGTCTTTCACTTGTTTGGTTAGCGTTACTCTTACCCCAATGTATTTTATGTTGCTTGTGGCAATTGTAAAGTGTGATGTTTCTCTGATTTGATTCTCAGCCCTTTTTTCCTCTGTATACAGTAGGGCTAGTGATTTTCTTGAGTTGATCTTGTATCCTGCCACTTTGCTGAAAGTATTTATCAGCTGTAGGAGTTCCTGGTAGAGTTATTTTGGATCACTTATGGAAACTATCATATCATGTGTAAATAGTGAAGGTTTGACCTCTTCTGTTCCTATTTGTATCCCCTTGATCTCATTTTGTTGCTGTATTGCTCTAGCTAGAACTTCAAATACAATATTGAAAACATATGGTGAGAGTGGACAGCCTTGTCTTGTTCCTGATTTTATTGGAATCGCATTGAGTTTCTGTCCATTTAGTTTGATGTTGGCTGTTGGTTTGCTGTATATAGCTTTTATTATCTTTAGGTATGTTCCTGTTATCCCAGATCTCTCCAACACCTTTATCATTAAGTGGTGCTGGAATTTGTGAAAGGCTTTTTCTTAATCTAGTGTGATGATCATGTGATTTTTGTTTTTCAGCTTGTTTATATGGAGGATTACATTGATGGGTTTTCAAATGTTAAACAATCCCTGGGATGAAACCTACTTGATCATGTTGAATGATTGTTTTGATGCATTCTTGAACTTGATTTTCCAGTATTTTATTGAGTATTTTTGCATCAATATTCATGAGGGATATTGTTTTTGACATTCTCTTTCTTGGTTGTGTCTTTGTGTGCCTTGGGTATCAAGGTTATTGAAGCCTCATAGGGGTTCTTAACTTCTGTGTTCACTATGGATGTGGGGAGGCTAGAGTGCATTTGTAATAAATTCATAAGTGATGAAATTTCTATCATTGTATTTTTAGTGTGTGGATCTGTTCCGTATAAAGAGTCCTTACTACACACAGTGTGGAATAGAGAGCATTTATGCTTAGGTCTGTTGTTCTCAGAATTTACATAGATGGACAGATCTGATGACTGCCCTACTCTGAACACAGGCTCATGTGACTATTCCATCCCCTGAAATTATAGATACAATATTTTCAGACCTTTCCACATCCTGTCCACCACCCCCTGTGTCTCTTGTGTTCTAACACTTTCTCTTCTCTCACTGTATTAGTCTGATATTTCTCTGCCCCTTTGGACAGGGTCACACCTGTGTTAAGATTGCAGTAGTGAATTCTGCCTCAGTCACTTCCACCTTGAATCTCTGTCATCATAGCAATACTTTCAAATCAAGTTTTTGACCAACTGTAATCCACTATAATAGAAGAATTCCTTACTGTCTCAAATATATCACCCCGTGTGTGTGTGTGTGTGTGTGTGTGTTCCTGCCTGTGCAGTTGGATATGTTTGTGTGTGTATTGAATGTTAGAGGATAGTCTCATCTTTTGCTCCTTCAGCTGCTTTCTGCCTTCTTTTTTATTCATAGTTTCTAAGTAGTCTGGAACTCTCCTGACTTCTAATTCAGTTAGTCTGTATGGACAGTGAGCCCCATGGATCTGTCTTTCTCTTACTTTCCAGGGTTGGGATTCCTAATTTTATTTACAGATATGATTTTTTTTCACTTGGATCCTGGAGTTTGAACTCAGTGTCTCATGCTTCTATTCCAAGTCCTTTAGTGTAGGTTCTCCTAAATCCCCAGTATTCATGTCCTTTTGTATTCATTTGTTTTGGGTTCTTTGGTGCTCAGACCAAGGGTTTTTACTTGAACACACTCAAACATGTTCAATAATGCTTTTCTCAGGAAGAATCAGGCTCCTTCAGTTCATCACTGTTGCCAAAAGTCAGAACTGTCTGCTGCCCAGGGTAGCTTCTTTAATGGGTTTGCTTTCATCTGCCACCAGGTGGCGAGTTTGAGCAGTATTCTGAGTGTGAGATTGTATTTGGGTGAGATTAACTTTTCTGAACTCAGCTAAGTGACTTTTCCTCTTCTGTGACAGGGCATCAACTAAGTTAATGAGAAACTGAGCTTCTCGGCTATCTAGGTTTCCATGAGATATGGAAACAGAGAAAGAGATAAAGAGAGGCAGAGAAGAGAGAGAGAGAGAGAGAGAGAGAGAGAGAGACAGAGAGAGACAGAGAGACAGAGAGAGACAGAGAAAGACACAGTGAGGCAGAGAAGAGAGAGAGAGAGAGACATACAGAGAAAGAAAGAGAGTGTGAGAGAGACAGAGACATAATTTCCAGCCTTACCCGTGAAAGTTTGTACATCATGATATGGACAAAAGGAGATACTTTCCTGTTTTGTTTTGTTTTGGGCAGAGTTTCTATGTGTAGGCCTGGCCATCCTGGAATTCCCTCTATAGACAGGGGAGGCTTTCAGAGATCTGTCTATCTCTGCCTCCTGAGTCCTGGGATTACAGGTGTGGGCCACCACACATGGTTTCTTTTTGCTTTTTCATATGTGTTTTGTAGCCAGGTGGTGGTGCTGCATGCCTTTAATCCCAGTACTCAGGTGGCAGAAGCAGGTACATTTCTGAGAGTTTGAGACCAGCCTGGTATATAAGAGCTAGTTCCAGAACAGGCTCCAAAGATACACAGATAATCCCTGACTGGAAAAAATTGTTTTGTGGCAGGTTGGCATTATGTAAGCAAGGCTGGCCTTGAACTCATGAACCTCTTACTCCAGCCTCCAAAATGTTGGGTTAAATTAATGTACCAACTCACATGGCTGCTACTTGTCATTTTAACCATACTTCATAAGAGGAAATAGTTAAAGCATTCAGTTATGTATTTCCATGCGTTCAACTGGCAAGTATTTGTACAGACTTATTGTGTGCTGGGTGGATTAATTAGTTTACATGCCAGTTTGTCATAACCACCCTGAAAATGAGTGGTTCCCTTTCATGTGCTGGGCCCTAACTGTGTGAGAGTAAAGAAAGCTTCCTGAGAGGAACAGCAGGCAGGCAGCATAGGTGCATTCACTTCTGTCTGCTGTTGTCCAGATGTGTTGTGATGAGCTGTCTCAGTCCAATGCTGTCACCCCCTGCAATCACGAAGTGTAATGTAGAAATGTGAGCCAAAGAAACCCTTTCCTCCTCTGAGTCTCTCTTCATCAGGGTGATATCACAGCAACAGAAATGAAACTGAAGGCTGGGTGTGCATTGTTTCAAGTAACAGGTATTCCTTGTGAGCAGCTACAGTGAACAAGACCATGGCCTTTAGGAGTCTGACCCTTCAGAAATGTGTCCTCATCTTAGTTAGGATTTCTATTAGTGTGATGAATCATTGTTACCAAAAATACATTGGGGAATAAAGAGTTCATTTCAGCCTAGAGCTTGTAATATTTCATCCAGGGAAATTAGGGCAGGGAGGTAAGAAAATTCACCAAAACATAAACTGTTTTTTGTAATTTACAAAAACTATTATAGATGTAGAAACACTTTTTTAAATGTGTTCCCCCCTCCCATGCTGGATAATGTACTCAGGACCTTATATGCTAGATAAGTACACTATAAGTGAATTATAGACTCAGCCTGTACCTGTTCATTTACAAGGAAGAATTGTGCAAGATGGATTCTGCCAAGCTTGCTGGAGTTGACTGTTCCCTTTTCATCAATGTCAGGAGAGAGTAGCTGGCCCATGGCAGCAAGACTCCAGCCGCCATACATCCTCTGCAACTTCAGATGAGAAAGAGACATAACTGTCACTCTTTTCCAGGGACTGTTGTTCTTGTACTCCTGAGATCATTTCATATATGGTTGGTAAGCTCTAATTGGTAACAATTATATTTTCTGATGGTTTCCTCTGGAGATATGGAATCAAGTAGCCCATGATGGCCTGAAAACAGTTTTGTACTATGGTTAATCTCAAGCATCTGATACTTCTGTCTCTGCCTCTTGAATGCTGGGAACACAAGCCCGTGCAGCTCGGCATGCTTTGTGTAGTGCTGCTGGGATGGAAACCAGGGCCACAGGCACTAGGCGAATGAAGGCTATGGACTGAGTTCCAGCCCCAGCATTTCTGTATCTTTGTGGTCTGTGCTAAGTAGAAGAGGGACTTAGGAAAGTCATCAGCTTAAGTTAGCATCACTGGTACAAATGGGCTTCAGGCCAGGAATTTCCTGGAACTTTTGCTTATGCAGTGATCTGGCAAAGAGTCCTTGCAGCAATGATTCAGAGATGAAGATAGAAGGTAGATTAGATTGTCTTTACTAGGCAAAGTGTGGCTCTATCATTGGTTATTTGAGACATGGTCTCACCATGTAGCCTCAGCTGGTCTAGAACTTGCCTTGT